TCCTCCTCTTCCTCCTCCTCCTCTTCCTCCTTCTTCCTTTTTGGTGGAACTGGGGATTGAACTCAGACCCTTGCACCTGCTGAACCATCTCCTCAGCCCTAAGTCTTAACACAAGTTGCTATGTTCTTGCATAGTGCCACAACCAGGGCATGTGTGTTTACCTGTATTAAGTCATGGTTCCATAAATGTATCCCACTGTGCACCTGTGCTAGACAAACAGGGTCACATCCTCAGGTGCCTGGATGATGCCCTGGAGCTTAGATGCTTAGATCCCTTGGAGCTTTGAAGCAGTCTGAGCATTTCCCCACTATCGCATTTGGAAGTGATGTCATATATTTGTAACAGAAAGGATGGTCATTGCACTAAACCCTGTGTATTTATTTCCTGAACTGTACTTCCTGTATCTGCCTTATCCATGCTTGGGTAGAATATAGGTGGTTGAACAGCTATTCTTGTGAACTTCACTATTCAAAATCACAACATCATTATTTTTACCTTCTTATTTGTACTAAAAGCTTCTGAATTAAATAATGAGTTATGTAAAACTAAAACAGCATCAAAAATCTAGCAATATATCTGACAACAGCTGCCATTTCACTCTTCATGGCTCTATCAGCTCAGGGAGCATCCACTGATCAGCTCCAAGATACAGTACATAGAATATGTCAAAGATTATGGAAGGACAGGAAAAAGTCCTATTTTTAAAATATAAAACTTATTTCTAAAACTGAAGTTTTTTATTATTATTTTCTGTCTCTTTCTCCTGCTCTTTTTCTCTCTTGGAATAAAGCTGCTTTATTTATATGGATAAATTAATTTTTTTAAAAAAATAAAACTACTCTGCAGTCCTTGTTAACATACTATATTGATAAGAACTCAGACCTGATCTATGTAACTAATTATAAAACAAAAATTTAGGTTAGAGTGTGACCAAATCCTTTCTAGTCCTAAGCAATCTATGATTTCATATGGCAAAGCTGGACACTTTGTGAAGTATAGTGGGGAAAAGAGACACTATAAAGATACAAAAGAAAAATATAGCGTTTAAAAATTTCAGATTGATCTGATTTTACTGCTGACACCAGTGACCTGTTTGGACTTGGTAAGTTGAGAGGCCTCACAGAGCTTCATGTTTCTTTATGTTGAAGTTGACAATACACAGTATCCTACTTCAGAAATCTCCTTGTGGGGAAGAATTAGATGACAATATATCTAAAATATATAATATCTCCAAGAAGCGGTGGCTGTTATTAATAGTAAAAGCAGTTTTAAGTCATATTTTATATCAGGCTTTACTTTAAAGATTTAGACATGTGCCTCCCACAACATGTTTTTTCTGGTTCAGCTCAAAACAATTTAATTCCAGAAATACCCAGTCTGTAGCACTGATTTCTTATCCTAAGGTAGGTTTCTGATAACTCTACTATTTTAAATAATGCATGGCTATATTTAGGTACAAGAATAATCAAGACGTGTTCACTTCCTATCACTTGAATTTTCCAACTTGAATTCACACACCTCTGTGATATATCAATTATTTTTGGGGTGTTCCAGAAGGAATTTTAAGCAGAAGATGGTGACTTTTAAGGTACAGAAATTTAGTTTCACAAAGAGCTTAGTGACACATACATACACAAATTTGCAAAATGAATTAAAACATCATTGAATATACAATAACCAGAAGCAGAGATATTTTTAAATGAATGTTAGATTGTTCTGGAAGGTGCTAGAAGCTCTTCAAATACACTTGACGAGCTGTGAAAAATACAATTACAGAGTTTTCCAAAGGAAGATATCTATTAAAACTACAATAGCTTCCATGGTGCTAGTGAAAGGACAAATTTTACAATGAACTGAAAAAATATTGTGAATTGACATTTGAGAATTCAGTCAGAAAGTTGTCTTGGAAGAGAAATAAAACATCTTACCTGGACACTTTCCAAATGTGAATAAATTCTGTAAGTTGGTTTAGGTCCAACTCACTGTGGTCATCATCAGGCTGTGGAGAACAGAATCTATTAACATTTGTGCAGGAATTAGGAACGAGTGCCAAGTAAGTATAGATCTGGAGCTTCCTGCTGTCTTTTTATTTATCTATTTTGATAACTCTCATTCATCATTTTTATACTTAGTCTTACTGACCTGACAAGACTTTTTAGCTATACAATCCTTTTTTAAATAGTGAAACAAAGATCAGAGGTTTGGATGACGCTACACCTTGGAAAGTGTGGAAATACATCTTGGCATCAAGAAGGTCAAACAGTTTCTCCTTGTGAGTAGGAAAGCAGGTTCCTAGGCAGGAGTTCTCTCCACATACCTCCTTCTGCTCCTCCTCCTCCTCCTTCCCCAACATTATCCTTAGCCTCTTCCTGCTTTTCTTTTTAAATACATTGAGGCCAAACACAACACTGTTCGCCAGATGGGCTGGAGGCACTGGATGAACTGCTGTTCTGCATTTTTTCACTGCCATCTTCTCTTTCTGCCAATATATCAGTCTAAGAGTTTTCAGATTTGTGTACATTAGATTATGTGAATGGATGACAATTACTGATAAATCTAAATTCTAGGAGTTACTGTTTGGTAGCAGGAACGACTCACCTTCAATTATCAGTCCTGTGGTACACACACACACACACACACACACACACTCCTCACTTCCTTCACCAACCCTTTCCAAATAGACTTTTATGAAGACCCTGTGAACCTGAGCAGAGAATGGAATATTCTACCAGCTGAACATCAAAGGTAAATGATTTTTATGCTTGTTTGTTGTTAAGGAGGTAGAAAGAAGCTAAGTTATCTGAAAGGATAAGTCATCACTGGAAAGCAGCACTCTGAGGGCTGCTGTGAAAAGGAAGCTCTTCACAAAAATAGGAATTTAGTGACTGCCATACAATATACTCTATGAATGTGCATTGCCATCTGGGGATAAGTAACTCAGAAGCATACTGGTAACTCAGGTTTTTTATTTTGTTTGAATTAGAGAAAACTAAATTAATTTAAATTTGTTTATTTAAAAATTTCTATCTACTTATGAAAGATCCTTTCCATGATGCCAATTATTGATGATACCTTCAGTGAATCCCCAGTCTCCTACCAGATGTTATCATTCATAGTGGAAAAGTAAAGAAAGAGAGAGAGACATAATAGAGGGTTAGAGTAGGGCTCTGGCCAGGTCCACGTTCTCTGAGGACAAAGACCAGAATCTCCAATGGGAAACCATTTTATTAGCCAGCGCAGGGGCATAGGGTATAGTGTTTGTCCTGGAACAGTGCAGAAACAGTGGCTGAATGGGCATGTTCAACAACCTAAAGGAACAAGTTAAGCTTCATCCCCACATATGGGTGCTAGTTTCCTTGTATTTTCCTCAGCAGAGTGCATCCTGCTCTATGAGCCTCTTTGCAAGGAAGTGAAATTTCCACATTCCCAAACTGATTCATAAGGTATGGTACGAGGGCCTTGGACAGATCCTATGCCAATCTATAACTCGTTGTCCTCAGCATCTACCTAAGAATATTCATTGTAAAGGGTACTTTGTTTGATATCCAGAGATGCTGATATTTGGAGGTAGAGATTGGTCCCTGTCTTCTTGCCATTTACTAGAATTTTTTAAACAGTATCTCAAAATGCTGGAGAAATTTTTTAGCTATTATACATGAAATGTACTCTTCACTGTACTTTTCTCCCAAACTGAAGGTCATACACTGGTTTTAACAAGGAAGTTTGAAATCTATTTTCTTCATAAAAATTCTACTCTTATAATTGTTCTGTGAATATTCCCTGGAGCTAGAAGGAAATCTTGTTCTTATGATTAGTATCTACAATGTTGGCAACATTTTGAGAGATTTAAAATCAGACTAAAAATTTGAAAAGAGATTCAGTCATTCACATCACATCTGATCAAGATGGAAGTTTTAAAATTTTGAGATCAGGGATGATTTTTTTTAAAGACTGTCAAATTGCTTTATGAACAATCCTTCAGAACAAGAATTAAATCATATTTTAATATAATATAATCAAGTTTAAAATAGGGAAAGCATATGAGTGTAGCTTGTAATGCCTTTTATAATTACAAAAATATAGACCCTTGAAAGCCAGTGATGTCAGTAAATTTTAACAAACATGATAATTACTATATTCATAGAATTATGGGGGGAATGCTATTAAGCCCCTTTTATAGTTTTGGGAGAATGAAAGTGTAATTGTTTGCAGATGTTTAGCTGGTAGTAGAAATTCTGAAAATCAAGGAGAACCCTGACAGCATTTAGAAAATAGAATTAAAAGGAAACATTTCCTACCTACGGTATCTATGAAAACCCAAGATCAATTATTTTCCATATAATAATTCCCATAATGGATGAGCATCATAAACTGATAAACTGTTGCAGTTATGTGAAGTTGGTCAGGATATCACGTCTTCCCCAGAAAGCAGAAAATTTGCAAAATTTACATGGAAACCAAGGCAATTATTCTCTTTTGGTTGCAGACTATACGCAGAGCTTAGTAGGGAATTCTGATGAGGGCCCGCAGGAGTGGAGCGCTGATTGGAGTGTGGGGAGGCAAGGCGTTACTGATGAGACATCAGACAGAAATTCTCTTCCTCAACAACTCTGACTCACAAGAGTACTTACCTGATCTGGTTACTATGGAAACTCAGCGGAGGAATGCAAGTGAGGAAGAGCTTAAGTCAGAACCTGACCTCCGCAGTATCGCTAAGTATCAGCTGTTGAGGTCGTAAAAGTAAGGCACTGACCTAGGATATCGCAGTTCTTCATTATTGAAAATTTTAAGGCTTGATTAAATTTAGCTGTGATTTAAACATTTCAAAAGTTTACTCGTGGAGTGGAAAACATTGAGAGACATGGACATGTAACTAATCTCTACAATTTAGGTGTCATATTGAAAAAGACATTTTGAGTGACAATTATGCACTGTATGGAAGACTATGTTTGTTCTTAAAACACAGTGGACAATGACAGTTATGACAACGTCAATGGTGACAACAGTCAAAGATACCTCATTGGATGGTGTTATAATATAGTGGGCTCTATGACCCAAATACTGTTGCTCAGATGCCATTGCTCTTGCTTGGTAGCTGTAAGACTTGTGCTGGATTAATCTCCTCATTTTCCAGTCCTTTTCATTATATATGATAGGGAAAATATAGAATTTATCAACTTTTTGCTCATAAGCTTTTTAATCATTTGAAGCACCAAAGATATGCGTAGTACATAATAAATTCATGATGTGGTTCATTATTACTAAATACATATGGTGTCTCAGTCACTAAGTTATGTGAGTAGAAATGTGGAAAAATAAAGCAAAACAAGTAAAAATAAACATCAATCTAGGATTGTCTAAAACTGACATCTAAAATCTCTGAGAACAGCATGCAAATTCTAGGCCCACCTTGCAACATAAAGTTGGTAGTGTGCTACGACGGTTCTGAGACTTACTGGTTGGATTCAAACCAAGCTCTTCTGCTCACTAGTTCCATGACAACAGTCTAAAGAAAGTCCAGAGGACTCCCTGGGATTCTGTTTCTTTATTTTCAACTGTGCTTTCCTCATAGAATTCTAAAGATTAAATGGGATGGAATTGTTAAAGTCTCAGACACAAAATATATGCTAAATACATATTCTATCAGAATGGTGAATTTTAGAATAAAGCTCAATTTACATGAGACTCAAATGTTAGTGTTTTGTGAATTATTACACCAGTGAGATACACTACTTTTTAGAAACATGCAAATTAGAATAATATATTTCCTCTTCTTTTCCCATGTTGCAATGAAATATGATGGTTTCAGCTTTTTCTACAGTAGTTAGGGCAATTTGGAGAATTGTAAGTTTATTAATACTGACAATATTAGTCGCACTTTATGTTGCCTCTTCATGAAGCTTTCAGATGCGTAGCCCTGGAGCTGTCAACGGCAGTGAGTTTGGAAACAAGATCCAAAGGGTATTTCTAAACAAGTCTCTTTTGGCCTCATTACATTCTGTTCCACAAAGATATATTGCAACGTCTTGTACCACCCGACATTCTTTATGATGAAACACCTTATATTAGGGGGAAAAGTAATCATGCTCTAGAAATCTGTTATCTGATGGAAATGACAGGACAGTAGGATTTTTGCTTAAAGCAGGTAATTGGAAGATTCTACAGATAAAAACTGCAAAATATCAAAGTTCACTGCCCACTGTGCAATTTGGGTTGGAAATAACTCAAGACACCACACAGGGAATAAAATTCACATCTAACAGCGTGAAATTATGTCATTAAAGCACCATAATCCCTTTCTAGGTAGTTTTATCCCATATACAATGCATATTAATCTTTCATGATTTGAGTTCCTTTGTTTGTGGTCATAAGCAGTTTTCAGATATAACAAGAGTTGTGTTATTTTTCTGCCTTCCATGGTTTCTGCTTTATATCACAGTGACCTACCTTCTATCGCTGTCACATGATGGGTCGCCTTCAGGAGCAGAAATATCCATTATATATCACCAAGATTGCTTCCATCATGTTGCTTTGGTTTAAATTAACAAGATTTAGCTTAAATATTTCATCATGCTCCGATAACCATATGAAGTAAATATGTGTTAATTAAGTTATATCATTCCAGGTTGGCAGAAAAATAGGCATATTGTCATTAGATCAATTCTTTGGCTAATGGAAACCACTGCCAAAAAAGTCTTACCTTTCTAGATAACTTTCCTGGGGCTGTTGTATTTTTCTGTAGGTGAAGATGAATAACAGATTTATTTTTCTGAAACATTTTGTGACTCCCCAAAGAGTGATCACTGAAGAAGAAGAAGAAAAAACATGAACATAATCATATCCTCCCATAATGCCTTAGCTATGTGTTTTCTTCCTTGGTGTCATTTTCTTTTAGTTTTGGAACATGGTCTGAAGTAAACTGAGTGTCTGGGTTTATATAAATATAATGAAGGGGGGCTGTATGTCTAGATATCAATGACACTGCGATTTTTAGAAATGCATTAATATGTTAAGAATATTGGGTATGTTTAGAGTGGCCATAATTATAATAAAGACTATTTTATGTATGGAAAGCTAATTTATTTAGCTCTCAAAACAAAAGACAGCAATGCTCTTGGGAGTACTAGTTGGTGTCACAATGTTTATGTGGGTGACCACTGTGTGCAATTGTTTGTCAATTGCAGAAGAAATGTAGCAAAGTGTCACAGGCTTTGGAGACATATTTATAAACTCTGTGACTTAAGCAGGCCAATTAAACTAAAGCTATCTGACATTCCATAATGTCTTCTTTAGAGTTGGCGTGTTATTATCTATATTAGAGGACTCAGGAAAATTAAACAGTGAAATCATTATATTTTAGGTATTTTCAACAGTATGGTTATATGTTTTCTTTCTTTCTTTCTTTCTTTCTTTCTTTCTTTCTTTCTTTCTTTCTTTCTTTCTCTTTTTTGTTCTGTAGCTATCTGCCACACACAAATTAAATGATGGGAAAAAGAATTATTTTTGAAACTAATTGTTTTAATCAAAAGTAGATTCTGCTGAAATTGAAGGACTTTTACTGTATGCTACCTTTTATTGCTTTAGATTTTCAAGATAACAATATGCAATCTACTAACCATTGTTATTCTCTTGCAATCTCATTTCAAAATTTTACATCATTGTTTTATTGTTCTTTTATCTTTTCTTTAAAAATGAAAAAATAAATTTCTACAACTCTGACTCCTGTTATTTAAAAAGATATTATGTTAGTAAGTTTGTTCAAAGGATGTTGGTTAAATATATAAAGGACTTCAGGAAATAAAGTACTCTCATACAAAAATTTGGAGTCCTAAAGTGCTAACTTACTAAATCTTACCAATGCGTTTTTCCAAAACACAGACAAAACCATCCAGCAGAAAAGTATGAAAATGAGGTATAAAGAGTAAAGCCATATTGATATGCTGAGCTGTAAAAGGCTCAAGTCAGCAACTTCTGACATTGCCAGTGCTATGGGTAACCCACTACTATGATGAACTACTGGACTATATTAGATTATTGTGCTGAATTCATGCACCTACAATATATGAATGACAATGGAATACCCATCTCTGACATAACTAAACAAAAATGGGATACAAATGAAGGACCATTTTGTATCTGTATATACAAAATAGTTAGTATAGATATACAACTACTTTCTCCTAATTCAATGAGAAGAAAGATTTGTACTAATAGTGTTTGGACAGGATATCATGTCTGCATCTTGTATTATGAATAACTACTATGAAGACAACAATATGCAATGTATTAATTATTGTAACTGTCCTACTAACCTGTTTTGAAACTGTCTCATTGCTATTTCTCAATAAAATTAATTTTTAAAAAAGTCCCTTTCTATTCCTAGTTTGTTGAGAGGTTTTATCATTTTAGGTATGTGATTTTTGATGAAAGCCTTTGCTGACTTATAATAGAATTATGTTCTTAATTTTAGGTAATTTAAATGGTTAGTTGTATTGGATTTATTACTATTAAACAAAGCTTTCATTTTTATACAAAAGATAGACAAATATTACTATTAATATTTATGAAATATTCTCTTAAAATTTTGAACAATTGTTACTTTTAGTACCTAACTATGATTTTAGGGTTGTGTTAATTGCATTGCTTTTAATGTCTGGAAGTACAGTCTTCCACAGAATGGTTGCTAGACACAAGGAGCTGCTGGTTGCTTGCACAGAAGCAAGGCCGAATTAAGCTGGGCACTAAGTGTGAAGTCCACTAGGGTTTTGAACATTTATCACAAAAAATAATATAAGACATTTAAAACTTTATTTTTATTACCTGTTAAAATAATATGAGGATATTGAATTAAATAAACTATAGTATCAAAATTTCTTTCTTTCTTTCTTTCTTTTTTTGGTGGAACCGTTGATAGAACTCAGGCCCTTGCCCTTGCCAGGCAAGTACTTATTCTACTGAGCTAGCTGCCTGCTTCCAAAATTGTTTGTCAATTGCTTTCTTTTCATTTTTTAATTTTTGTGGTACTAAGGACTAAACCCATGGCTTGCACATTTTAGGCACAGTCTGCCACTGAACTGTGTTCACGACCCTTTTCGTTTGAGACAAAATCTTGATACGTTGCCCAGGCTGCCTTTGAACTTCTTATGGTCCTGCCTCAGCCTCATGAACAGCTAGAATTACAGGTATATGCCACCACACCCAACTTCCTTTTTTTATTATGGTTAATAGAGAATTTAAAACTGGTAGGTGACCAATATGATAACATAATCAGATTGTGTTAATCTAGGGGAAATGAAAAAAAGGGAGAAAAAAACATTGAAGGCTAGACATAAAAGTGGTATGTGCAATGTATTGAGTAAATGGAGTAAGAAAAAATTTCACTTAATGATTCTGAGTCTCAGAGAAGGAAGAATGAAAGTTTACAATACCAAGAAAGTTGATAAAAAGCTATGCTGCAGAAATGGGTAGTGCGAAGATAAGGATTTCACCACTAAGAGAACAGCTCAGTCTACTAATAACATGGCAATAGAATTATCTGTTTTAGGTGATACACAGATTTAAGATTCAAGTGTTTAGTAGACTTTGTTTAATAATCATGTATACACTAATTTGTTTTTTTTATTTTTTATTTTTAGAGGAGGGTCTACAGGGTGTTCAGG